ACCTGACATCCCTCTCCATACCTGACATCCCTCTCCATACCTGACATCCCTCTCCATACCCTCCAAAGCAAATGATGGCAGGGGTTGCCTTTTTTGGGTTCAGAGCAGCTTTAAGGCAGAACAGCACTTTTAATGGCTGAGGCAGCCAGACTGGTCTCACATCGGACAATCTGACTTGGGTGACTGCTGTGTTGAGATCCTGAGGATTTTTAACTACCTGAATGTACAGTATTCTTTTTTTCCTGTGCCTCTGCTGTAGTGCATGAAAAATTCCCTTCACATATACTCCTCTACTCTGCTCTCCTGAGACCTCACCTGGAGTGCTGCATCCAGCTCTGGGATCCCCAACATGAGCCTATTGGAGTGAGTCCAGAGGAGGCCACAAAGGTGGACCAAGGGCTGGAGTACCTCTGCTGTGAGGACAGGCTGGGGTTGTTCAGCCTGGAGAAGGCTCCAGGGAGACCTCAGAGCCCCTTCCAGCACCTACAGGGGGCTACTAGAGAGCTGGAGAGGGACTTTGAACAAGGGCCTGGAGGGACAGGACAAGGGGTAGTGATGTCAGGCTGAAAGAGGGTAGGTTTAGATTAGACTTTGGGAAGAGAGTCTTCCCTGTGAGGGTGGGGAGGCCCTGGCACATGTTGCCTAGAAAAGCTGTGGCTGCCCCATCCCTGGAAGTGTCCAAGGCCAGGTTGGACAGGGCTTGGAACAACCTGGGCTAGTAGGAGGGGTCCCTGCACATGGCAAGGGGTTGGAACTGGATGAGCTTTAAGGTCCCTTCCTACCCAAACCACTCCATGATTCTACACTAAAAAAAACATTAATTTCTTTTCAAATTGCCAACCAGCAGCTCAGAGATTCAACATTCACATTATTTAACATTTAATTTAAAAGACTACTAAACCAACTGTCTCAGCATCCTGCTATGAAAATCTTAAATTAAATTGTGATTTAAATTGCCATTATAAGCCTGTACCTGATTATCAAGTGAAAGTTACTCAACTAAAGAGAGACATTTTAGCAAGCAGTTGACAGAATGACTTTCTGCCAGGCACCACAAGGAGAAGAAAGGTGCTCATTGTGATAATCCTTCACTGATTACGATCAGTCACTGTAGCCAGCACAGAACCAAGTGTGCAATCCTTCATGACATTTTTAAAAAGAAAATTCAAAGAGAAAAAAAAAAATCAATTGCAAAGTGAATAAATATCCCAGGCACCCATGGCTTCATTTATTCTTGTCCTCAGAAACATCGATCAGACGTCGTTGTCATCTGTTTGCCTGTTTAAAAGACAAAACAAAACAAAATACAAAGGTTCAAGTTCTGTCTTATCAATTACTAGGATGCTTCCCAACAAAACAGCTTAATGAGCAGCCAAGTCCCATTTATTTATTTATTTATTTTTAAAAATAAAATCGTGTTTCAGGATTTGGGACACGTAACATTTTCAAAAAAAACTCCAAATATTTTACCTGCATATTTCTATAAATCCAATCTGTAAACACTGTCATATTCCCGTACACTCCAGGTTTATTGGGAGTAGCACAGCCAGTTCCCCAGCTGGTATCTCCAACCAGCCACCACACAGAGTTTTTGTTAGTCACCAGTGGGCCTCCACTGTCACCCTGCACAGAACACAAGCATTTCATTAGTGACCTGGCCACCAGGAAAGATAAGATCCATTTCACTGCAGGAATACAGGTTGAGTTTGCAAAAAAAAAAAAAAAGCTAACCGCCATTTTAGGCAGTCACTAAAACAAAATGTGATGGCAATTTTGGTATTAAATGATGTCTGCTTGCAACAGGGATGAAAATCATTTGCCCCAGCCCTAAGTAAGACCTGCATTATTGACTGTTCACAAGCATAATGCTGTGATAATTACCATAATAATGCTAATAATGCTGTGATTATGAAGAGCATTTGATCACTTTCAAGTACCAGATAACAAACCATCCTTGAAGCATTAATAAGAACTGCCTCACCCTCTTCGGGTATTTAGACAGAACTCAGCACTGGCAGCCATTCAGAAGATGAAACAAAAGCTTTTAAAGGGATGCACCACAAGGGGAACCTGAAGTCCAACCAAATGTTATGGAAACTTTTAATTTTGAGGGCAGGGCATGGGATTTGTTCGTGTGAAAGACCACAAAAATAATCAGATCATTATTAGATGCTAATTAGGAATAATTACCTGACAGGAATCGACTCCTCCTGCTAGATTTCCAGCACAGATCATTGTAGGCAAAATCATGCCACTATAGATAGAGGGAGAATTACACCTTGAACGTTCTATTAAGGGCACTGCAACATAATTCAAGATGTTTGATGTTTTGCCTGAAATTGAAATAGGCACAAACATATAAAGACAAAATTAGAATAGGCATCACATTAAGTTGCTACTACAAATCCCAACAGCCAGCACAGTCCAAGATGAAATAATCTTACTAGAAGCAGCAGGATGGACTTTTAAAATATAATAAGTCTGAAAGAGGTGATGAGGAGCTCCCCATAGTTTCAGGGTCCAGCACCAGCTGCCAGCAATTCCCATATTCAGGGCTCAGCTTCCTCAACACCCCCCTCCCCACCCAATACCTTCTTTTACTGAAAGAAACCTTTCCTCCCTTTTCCATTCTTACAAATCTACTTGCATCATGCTATTTTAGCCTGAGGTGGAGGAAAGGACAGGCTCCTGCCCTTTCCCACCTCCAGAGGACTGGTTTGGCACACAGCAATCCCTGTTACAGGAGAGGTGGCCCTGCTGTCAGGGGCACAGAATTGTTTCCTGGGTGAATATTTCTGGGCCCCAGTACTGATTTGAGAGCCCTCTGCAGATCACAACTTGCTTTGAGACAGAAGGCCCTGGGTAAACACTGGGGACTGTAAAAGGGGTGAAAAAGTAGTTTATCAACAGATCTAGAGCAAACTGCCCAATCAGCCCATGAAATGGTTATTCATAAGCTGAAGAGGACTATTTATTTAGAAGACCAGAACCACTCTTTACCTCCTTGGTATTCTGCTCCCCACCCTGATATCCAGCACTGCTGATCAGGCTGGAACATCATTCCTGGATTTGGCAGACAAACTGGCCGTACAGTTTCTGCAAAACAAACAGAGTAACATCTGTAATCCCAGATGTGCAGACAGAATTAAAAATAAATGCAAATGAAGTATCTCAGCACCACCACCACTTGCACACCACACATTTTCTCTGCACTTTACCTTCGTTGCAGGTGAGCAACACTGTGCAATGCAGGCAGCAGCAGAAAGTTTACCAGCTGCCCTTTCCCTGAGGACTATCAAATCTTCACCTCAAATCTGCTTCATCTTCACCTCAAACTGAGGAACTAGCAGTTAGTGGTTCTCGCTCAATTCATCAGGCTAACTAGAACAATTAACACCAGCTCTTCTGGTCAGTAGAGGACAAAAAAGAAGAAAAACTTCTGAAACACTGAACAGCTCTGCATTCTCTTTGCAAAACTCTGCTGAAAATAATTTCAGTGCAAGCAGAATTCAGTCCCTATATATATATTCCCGAGAGGTGTGCAGCACAAAAACCTGGTAAACACACACTCTCCCTCCTCTCAATAGCAGAAAATCCTTTCCAGAGTACTTCTAGCAGGTTTAAGCTGATGCACTGATATACAAATAACTTGTACAGGAAAAGCACTGCAAGTTTAATAACCATTTGTTATTTTGTACTCCTTGCTTACAAACAACCTACATCTATGTTTATGAAAGGAACTTCTTATAATGTTTGGTTCTGGGATTGGGTATTTTTGACCATCAAAATGATGACCATCAAATGATGACCATCATTGATAAATTGATTTAGGATGTAGTCAGCTGCTCCACTAAGACACATAGAGCAGTGGCAATACTTAAGCACCATTCTGAGATAAAAGTACATTATTGAGATGAGCCTAAACCTCCTGTACATGTAACAGACTTAAATAAATCCTACTTACAAAATCAGAGGCTGTGCCCTCAGTCTTTTCCTCCACCCTGCCTCTAAGTTGACTGTACCCACATTTATGTTCTTCTCATAAGTACCCACAAGGATTTCTTGATGACACTCAGAAGTTTTAAAAGATGTATTCATTGGCACTGGATTTTTGCCTTAAGAAGAGCAGGATACATACCAGTAAAACTCAGTGGTGACTCCAACTTCATAAGGGCAACATCATTGTCTTTAGAATCTGTGTCGTAATCCGGATGGGAAATAATCAGATGCACTCTGTATCCACTTCTGAAGAGCATCTCATTCTGATTCAGAATCCCAGCATAAACCCTCCAGCTGTGTGGGTCAGAAAATCGTCTGTAGAGAAAGAAAGGTTAGAAGGTTTGCTTCTGTGGTAACAAGACATGGAGTATTGACCCTCAAAACATTGTCTTCAGGAATTGTAGTCAAATGTACAAGAATGCACATGCATTTGGCTACCATTTCTGAAGAATAAGATAAAAAAATTGCAATACATCCAACTTTAGGAAAACTGGACTCTAATTTCATACATATATCCAAAAAATCTTCAAAATGGGTTAAGTATCACTGTCCATCCCCTCATGTCACTCAGCACAGCAATTAAAGTCTGAGACTGCAACACTGAAGTCTATTGATTTCCATGGCTGAGGGATCAAGGAGTTATTTCTGAGGTCTCACATGTCAGTGGTATCACTCACCTGTTCTATCCAAAGAACACAGGGAAGCAGAAGCCAAAATTAGTAAAAACATGATCTAGTGAGGGAATTTCATTATCTTGAAAATGCCAGGGGGTTTTTTTGCTTGGTTTTGGTGGTGGTGTTTTCTTTTAACATTAAGCATGCTTGCTCGATGCAATTTAAGTAACTTCTTGTGCTCCAGCACAGTTTACAAATGCTTAATAGAAAATTTCCCACAAGTGTTAAAACTCCCTCCATGAGAACTGCCAAGGCAGAGGAGTGCCTGCAAGTCATTCCACCTCCAAAAAAAACCAAATCAAGACTGAAAACCAGGTTTGTGCCAGCTAGAGCTTGGTTGCCATTCCCAAAGCTTTTGCATACTACAGAGCTCAAATCATACAACAAAGGAGGGATAAGATCACCACATAAAAATAAACACTTGCATTCCTTCCTCAAGGTTAAGGACAAAGTTATTTTTCCTTGCCTTAGCCTCAAACTGTGATATAGCCAACCAGCATTAAAAATGTTTTGCTTTGTGGGTTTTCCCTCCAACAGAAGCAGCCACCTTTTAAACACAAGGTACCGCAGCACCCTCAACTCTCCTTTATAGGTTAAAAATGTACAAAGCATCAGCTATTTTTCTTGTTGATGGCTACATAAAGTGCTGCTTGGATAGGTATAAATCCACGTTTAATACTGACTTGGACTTTACTACCCTGTGGCACGAAGATATGAGGAAATAAATGGTACAAGTATCTTCAAATTGATCATATCTACAGTAGTGCAATACTCGAGGGTTAGGGAAAATTTGTTTTCCATTTTCTTTGTGTTTTCCCACAGTTCAGTTCGGCATCTTCATGAAAACATTGTACTGTCTGGTGTTAATTTTGGTGCCTTGAATTTACATCTTAAATTGGGTGGGTATCTGCATCCAACACCACCATCCAATTTAATTTCCACCTTTAACACGCAAAATAAGGCTTTCTTCCTGCAGAAAGCAGACAGATGACCAGCAGCCAGAATAAATTTTGCCATAAGACTTCGGGCTCATGCCGCTACACGGACAAAACGCTGCACCTCGCACCTGCACGCGAGTTTTATAAGCAGAAAGTTGGGAGGCTTCGATAAATTTGTGCGTTTCAGCCCGAAGCAAGGGAGATGGGCAGCTGGGAGAGGGGTGGGGCTCACCCTTCCACGCAGTGTGCCGCCGTCACGATCCACTGGCGGGTGATGATGGAGCCCCCGCAGACGTGGGTGCCCTCCACGTGCAGGCTGACCTGCCACGGCCACTGCCCCAGCACGGCCCCGCTGCCGCCCACGATCCTGTTCATGACGCTCACGCTCTTGGTGGACAGGCCGCACTCTGAGGAGTCAATCACACGCACGGGAGTGAGTTAAACAGCGAGCTGGAAGATGGATTCTCCACCTTTGCACTGCCACAGCTCAGGCCCCGGCCCTGACACCAGGATCCCAATTGTCCAAGAGGGCAGAACCCCCATCAAATTGCAAACATTGCTTGGCAGCTGCTGCCCTTGGTTCACCACAAACTATAAACCAGAGGTTCATTACAGCTTTCAAGCATCTCTGGCGAGACACACACCAGACATCAAGCTCTTAGAAAGTGTCCAAAGGAGGGCAACAAAGACAGTGAAGGGCCATGAGAGGAAGCCGTGTGAGGAGCAGCTGAGGGCACTTGGTCTGTTCAGCCTGGAGAAGAGGAGACTGAGGAGAGACCTCATTGCAGTTACAACTTTCTTGGGAGGGGAAGAGGAAGGGCAGGTACTCAGCTCTTCTCTGTGGTGACCAGGGACAGGACCCCAGGGAATGGCCTGGAGTTGTGTCAGAGGAGGTTTAGGTTGGATATTAGGAAAGTGTTCTTAACCCAGAGGGTGGTTGGACACTGAACAGGCTCCCCAGGGCAGTGGTCACAGCACCAAGGCTGACAGAGATCAAGAAGTGTTTGGATGATATTCTGGGGCACATGATGTGACTCTTGGGGATGGTCCTGTGCAGGACTAAGGGTTGGACTTGACGATCCTTTGGGGCCCTTCCCACTCTGGATCTTCTGTGTTTCTGTGCTGTTCCACAAAGCAGTCAACAGCCAGGAGACTCCTCACTCCATCACCACCAAGAAGGCACTGCCTGCTCAATGGCTGAGTGTTGGAGAGCAAAGGTGCCAAAGACATCCCACCATGGCTCCAGGTGAGGGCTACAGAGCTTCAACACAGGCAAGTCATTTAAAGGAACCTGTGGCAGCAAAGACCAAAGCAACTGGGGATACAACATTCTCCTCCTCTCCCACCCTGCCTCTTAAACTGAACCTTTCGAAACTTGGCAACCAGATTTATATCATTTGCCCATCCAAAGACAGCGGGTATTTATGGAGATTCAAAAGGATTTCCCAGCTAGAGCATTTCAAAGCATGAACCAGCAGAAGTGTGAAAACCACAGTGACTTACCTATGCAGCGCAGAGAAACCACATGTCCTGAAGCACAGGAATCACTGCAAGAGAAATAAAAAACCAAAGATGATCTTAGGCACACAGTGAAGGAAATGGTGAGAAAAGTCCACCCTCCAGCTGCTTCCTACCCTTTCCAGCTACATGCCCTGCCTTCAGCCTCATCTTCCTGCTGAGGGTTCCCTCCTTTCTTCACTCTCTCCAGCTACCCTACCAGCAACCATCTGGCCTCCACCATTTCTTGCATTCACCAAAACTGTTATGTGGAAGACTGAAGAAGCCAGTACAAAAGGTTTGTAAGCCTATTGAGGAGCAAGATGAAGAACAGCATGAGAAAAAGCTCAGCTGATTTATGAAGTAGTTGTAGAAGCATCTAAACAAGAGAGCTGCAGAAGTTTGCCAGGCACAGCAGTCTATAGGCTTTGGAATCAGACACTTCAGAGTTGTTTAATGAGAATAAAAATGATACTTTCCACAGTGAAAGATCAATTCCTGCACGCTGTGTGTTCTTGCAACTGAAAAAAAAAGCTGTACCAGCTGCTGTGAATGTGTTACAGCTTGTAGTTATTGTCACTACACAAAAATTCCTGCTGATGGTCAAAGAGCCTTAGATAATTACCTTTGACATGGTAACCTTCTAGAGAGCAAGGAGGGAACAGGATGGGACATCTTTTAAAAGATGAGAGGAAGGATGGAGAAAAGGCAGCTGTGCTTTTAAACAGAAGGGAGAGCAGCTGCTGCAATCAGATTAAAAACAAAGTCTTCCTCTAACAATCCCTCTTGAAAGATGTGCTTGCATTATGCTGCAAGCAGAACCTACACCTCTTACAACAGCTAAACAGACCCCTGGTAAAAGGAAAGAGGTTTATATTAGACAGATACCTGCTGTACAGCTTTTTGTACAAGTCTATATTCCCAGCACTTGTGTTCAGCTTCATGTAGCTTTTAAAGCTGACATCAGGTACCACCCCATGACTGTAGTAATATGTATCCCTGCAAAATAGAAAGCCCATTATAAAACTCAGTAATTTCAGTTTTCCAACAAGGAACAATAAGCTATGCCAAGCTGGAGCTTCTGACATGACAACACTAACAATATTTATTTGTATTTTTAAGTAAACACAGAACCCTGGTGGTGCAGTACAGTGCCAGAGACTCAGATTGTTTAAACATCAAACAGTTACTGGGTTAAAAAAGTATTTTTATCCAATATGCACAGTAGAAATGCTCAGCCTCATGTAACAGGGAAATATGAAGTGAATGTACTTTGCCAGTACATTTACACAGCACAGCAAAGTTCAGGTGCACTAAATTGTGACATCCACGTTTCAGTGGGACAACAAAAAGGGCAGCAAGTGTTGTTCTTCTTCCAGGTCTTCTAGCTGAGGTTCTCTTGCTGCTGGGTTGGAGTTGGAACTACTGGAGCTGGAACTGGAACACACAAGTTCTGCCTGCCTCAAAAATTCACTCCATTGCTCCACACACAACAGAGGACAGCATTTTCCAACTGTATCAAAGAGAGGCAACATAAAATATTTAAACCACAGAAGACTTTAGGCTGTGGCGTTACATGGGGAGAACGTGGGCAGCACTCAGGGCACAAACGTTTACAGTGATCTTATCACAGAATCATAGAAAGGTCTGGGTTGGAAGGAATCTTAAAGATCATCCAGTTCCAACCCCCCTGCCATGGGCAGGGACACCTTCCACTAGACCAGGTTGCTCAGAGCTCCATCCAGCCTGGCCTTGGACACTTCCAGGGGTGGAGCATCCACAGCTTCTCTGGGCAACCTGTGCCAGGGCCTCACCACCCTCACAGGGAAGAATTTTTTCGTAATATCTCATCTAAACCTACACACTCTCAGTTTGAATGCATTCCCCCTTGTCCTGTTGCTACATGGTCTTGTTAAAAAGTCCCTCTCCATGTTTCTTGTAGGCCCCTTCAGGTACTGGAAATCCACAATTAGGTCACCCCTGAGCCTTCTCTTTTTTCCACAGAGCTGGTGTTGTGCCCTCTGAAGATCAAGGCTTTCTGTGTAATACTTGTGTTGACAGATTAAGTCAGACTGGATGTCACTGAGCCATTTCAATGACCTGAGAGAGCTCTGGAAGTTATGTTGTATGGGAATGTAGTGGATACAAGTGACCCCACAGCAAGTGGTCACCCCATGTGGGCCAGACTTGTTGGAGCAACATTCCCTTTTGAGTCTGCAAAAGCCTCCACTAACAGCATCAGACCCATGTGTTTTTTGGCTCAGACATGTGCTTTTAAAAATGGAAGAGACAAATTTTAACCTTTCCATGTATAGGTGCAAAAGCTGGTGAAGGCTGGACTTACACACTGTAGCCCATGTCTTTACATGCAATCTTCCCATAGTCATCATTCCAATCATCTTGACAAACAGGATACCAGGATTTGCTGACAGGTGAATAAACTTCCAGGATGAAATTTGGTCCAAAAAGTCTAACTGCCAGAAAAGGGAGAAAGGGGGGGAAAAAAGAGAAACCAAGAACATCACACACTATAGTACTGCTCTTTCTCTACTTAAAAGTATTGTTACCCATAATATTCACTTCTGTGTATGAATTGATGTTAATTTAATGCTGCCTTCTACTCAAATTCTGAGTAAATATCCAGGAGACCAAAACATGGCAATGACTTAGTTTTTTGTGCGTAAGGCACTTTAAAAGAACTACCAGTTTTAAAATGCAAGTGTACGAGACATTGTTCATCTTCAGCTTTTATGCTCAAAATTCTCTTTCTTATTCTGAGAAATACCACTGAGAAAGATTGCAATAGTCAACCTTTTGTTATCTTTTACCTACACAACAATGTATTTCTTAATATATCACATACTGTGTATAAATAAAATATAATCTATTGTAATATACTTTGTATCCTAATACACCAAATTTCTTCAGAGAAGCACTTGTAGGGCAAGAATGTAACAAGGAGCAATTAGCTCTGGCATTCCATGCCCCATTATGTATTTATTTGCACAAGAATTTAATATAAAATAGCTCAAGGAAAAGAACAGATTGAACAAGCTCCTCCAAGAACCCATTATTCAATCAAATGGAGAGGAACAGCTTTAGAGCATATGCCAGTAAAGGCTAATCCTGCAAGAGGCATGTGCTGAATAAAAGTTCACAGAGAGAGAATAAGAGCACAGCTGGACTTTTCCAGCATGGCGCAGGTGACAGGAACAAGGTACCACACCTTTGGAATCTACAAATCAATGATGTTTCCACCTTCTACCGTCAGCTTTACATTCTCTTGATTCCCTTGGCACCCTTTCTGTTGGAAACAATGATCAGGCCAGGTTTTATAGCACAAAGGAGTTATGAAGTAGTTGAAGAGTTATGGGGAGAACAAGGAATGCAAAATATATGGAAAAAGACAAGCGTGATTGAAGACCCTCAGGTTTATGTTACCACCTGAGGTTTACTGAGAAGTCAACAACCACTGTTCATTCCAGAGACAATGTTACATTCAGTTTTGCACAAGCCCTACTCAAATTAAAAGGTAATATTTAAAAAACTGATTCAAAGTCAGGGCATCTCAAACCCCTGAGTCAGACGTTTTCTTTCAGCTTTTCAATTAGACGAAAACCAAACTGAATATCTAGATACACCCCCTTCAGAGCCCTCAAGCATCCTAAACCATTTTAGAGATATAACTTAGGCTAAAACTGTCCTATTGTAACTTAGGCAAGCTTTGGACAAGGCCATTTGCTCAAAAACTCTTTGCAGGTCTCCTCCCCGAGCCCCCCACGCCGTCACTCACCACAGCGGGTTTCATCCTCCCCGTTGGGGCAGTCACTCACTCCATCACACCACTGAGACGGTGACGTGCACAATCCTGAAGATCCACACTCGATCAGGGAGCCCAGACAATGATTCTCCACTGCAGGGAGAGAGAGAAACAGCCCTAAGGCTGAACATCAGGGAGCCTCAGGTGCCCACTGCCAGCTCTCAAGGACTCCACTTTGATAGGAGCTCTTAAACTCAGAGATGGGAGGAAGCCCAGCCTGACACAACAGGATGTCTTGCTCTGGCCTTTAGATCACTTGTCAGATTAAGTCACTGATGCAGTTGATTGGATTTTGGCCACTGGCCTCCTCTGAATAAGCAAGAGCCATTAAGTTGTCAAAAAAGAGTCAGCTTCACTGACAAAGTGTCACACTTTAGAGAGGAAGAAAGTGAGTGCTCCAATTATATACTTTTCCTGTCATTTAAAAGAAGATTACAGTCACCCTGTATAAATCAAAGTGAGTGAAAAAAACACCCCTAAGAACACAAAGTGTCATCCTAGTAGTTCTAAATGAACTCTCTTAGAATCAGATAATAGTTTGGGTTGGACGGGATCTTTAAAAATCGTCTAGTCCAACCCCAATGCAATGATCAGGGACATCTTCAACTAGATCTCTCTTCCTCTTTTCCTGCACTGCACAGAAAGGAGAGGCTCCTAAAACCATAAAAAAATGGATTTTAATTTCCTTTGAAAAGTGGCTTTCATTGAAAGAGAAATGACGACAGCACGAGGCAAACTTCATTTAAGCTGAAGAGAATTGTTCCAGCTGAAGAGAATTGTTCAGAGCTCAGTCACCCCAGTTGTGGATGACTTCCAAGGTGAATGTATCATCCATTGTATGGCTTAAGGTGGTGAGACGGGCTGGGCTTGTCCAGTGTTTACACACTTTCAAAGCAAAAGCCTCACAGAAACAAAGAAATGGATTTAAATGACCTCTGCTCAGAGAGAGGTCCCATTTGACCAAACCAAAACACACCTTGACCGTTTACACTCTTGCAGTTAAGGTATACAAATTTACTGCAACCTCCTTCCTTCGCTTAAAATTAAGTGAACTTTAAATTCGGGACAGAGTTCAGTTTCTGATGCTCCACAGTGACTTCTCTAAGGAGTCCCCTGCACCAGAGAATGTGCTGGCCACGCACAGTCACGTGCCAGCTCTCCCTCAATTCACAAACCCTTGCCAGAGGTGGAATATTCTTTACTAGCTGTCCTGCATCAGCTCTTGTCAGATAGAGGGAACCTTCCCAGAGGAGCCACCTGAATAAGCCTCTCCTGAACAGTCAAAAAGCTGACATTTCTTAACATCAAAAACATATGTAACTGATGAAGGGGAAGGGAAGAGACAGCAGCATTGTTCATTAAAAAGAGAGAACAAAAAAAAAAACCAACCCACTAACAAAACTGAGCCATTAAAAAGTAACATTAGTTCATCTCTCAGGAGAAAAGGAACAAAGACTTGCCTGTCCTTAATTTGGCATGAAATGGAAGATGAGAATGTATATTTCTAACTTTCAAAGTTTAATGCATTTTTCTTTCAAAACAAAACAAACAAGAAAAAAAAACCAACAACTTACGAAAATACCAGATGAAGAAAGCAGCAATTGCACAACAAATGACTATCAAAACAGATAATATTATTATTATGGTTTTCCTTAAACCTGAAATGAAAGCAAGGAGAAAAAGAGAAATTAGTTCACAAATACAGTAATTTCCACCCATCAGCACCATATTTCCCTGACATTAAAATCAGATCCTTTTTGCCAGACAACTTTTCTCCATTCCACCATCCTTCCCTCAAATCACCCATGTTCCTGTCCAGTTACACCAGCATCCCAGCCAGATATCACTTCTTCATGCACGGGGAGGTGGCTCCTTCAATGCACGAGTTGGAAGGGAAGATCCCTTTTCTTTGTTATCTTGAGCCCCGAAACTGGAAGAAATCCCAGCAAAACTTACTCGATGCACATGATCTCCCGGATGAATGTGCTACTGGCCGGGTGGACTGGTGGGTGTGAACCCTTGGGACATAGCTTGGCACTGAGGGAGCATTTGTGGAGTAGAAGTGTGGATATGGATTAGCACCCACTGCCTGGTGGGCAGGATAGATGTGTTCTGCCTGAAAGCCGTGGTTCTCGTAGTATGGCGGTGGTGGACCCTAAATAGTGATGTTGAGGGGGGTGAGGAAACAGGAGAAAAAAAGAAAAACAAGAGGCAAGACAGCAATTAGGACAAAAGTTTCAAAACCCATCCACAGTCAGAACCCTAACTCAGTAATTCTGCCAATGCACACTCCCCCCACACAGACACACTTACTAGTGACTCCAGTTTACAGGGAGGAAGGGATTTACAGCACATGCCTAACACCTCACACTCTGAATAATAAAAATAACACAGAGCAAGGCTGGAAAATGTAAGATAAGATCAGTTTCCTGATCCAAAGTAACTCAGCCCGAGAAGGATTCTTGAGCCCAGCCCTCCAAGCTGGTGGCACAAACGCTTGCACTGGAACATCTGACAGGGTAGAAATAAACAGCAAGGACAGCTTTAGGCAGCTCTGTCACAGAAAGAAATGCTGACAAGTAACAGCCTTTGTCCAGGTCTAGGATAAATGCTTACTGCCCCATTTTGTCCTGTGACAACACCAGGTATACCTAAGCCATTTCTGAAACACGCTGGCCTACAACAGGTTGTGGGATATTTATCCTGGAAGAGCTGTAGGAACTAGTTAGAAGCCGTTCTAACCTATCCCACCAAAATAAGCTTTAAAAGTACAACTCTCTCCTAAAAGCATCTGAGCACTTCAAATGTTAGCTAATTCAAGCCTCTACACCTGTCTCACAGTATTTCTTTCCCTTTTTGCAGAAAAGAAAACACAGCAAATATTCCATGTTTTAAAAGACTTACTAATCAGTACATTACTCAATAGGCTGTTACTTACAAAGAAATAACACATCATTAAAAAAAAAAATCAGAGATGAATATTGTGAACATTTTGATTACTTACTACAGTAGAGGTCATCTTTCCTTTGTCAACAGTACAGAAACAATTCAAGTGTTTGGAAGTAAAGCATGAACCTATACACAAAACAAAAAAAAAAAAGAAAAAGAAAAAAAAGAAAACAATGACAACCAGAAGCTCTGTCCACCTTTCTTGCCAGTTTTCCCTTTGGAAAAATGCCAAACCTAGAGGGGGGGAAATAAAAAACAACCACAGACAAAAACGGAAGTATTTGAAGAGAGGGTACAAATTAAGGTGCAGCATGAAATCAGATCTCAATAGCCTCTCACTACAACCCTGAGGATTATACAGTGGCAACTATTCATTAACACGAGCGCCACACAAAACTGAGAAGGTTAAGTCAGTGCTCACTCTCGCTGTTAAAGAATATCCTGGCAACAACCCACACGGTGTCAGCACCAAGTTCAGGTCCTCCTGCCTCTCTCAACACTTACTCATGTAACACTTACTCTGAGGTTTATGACACAGAAACAAGAACACGAGCAAGGCATCAGGAAATACAAATTCAACTCATTTGATAACAGCTCGCAGCCCCACAAGCCACATTTTTTTTCACTCTTACGTGTTGCAAAGAGTTTGTTTTCTTGGTTGTGTGTTGTAGCCACAGCACCAGAAATGGTGAGAGAAGCACAGCAGGGAAACAATATCGACATAAAGTTTTGAAAATAGAGTTAAAAAGAAGAGCTATGTCCAATGTTTCAAGCATACAGTGGTTTATTTTAAAGTTAAACATTAACATTAAGTAAAACCACCGATTAGCACAGACACAAGAAACACAAAATGTTTGCTGGTACAGCTCCATGAGCTATCATTTTAATAAATACTGTAATCTACTGAATCTTCTCATGTTACTCCACATGGAAAAAAGCCTAGGAAGTGCCTCAGTCATGCACTGAGAAATACTTTTCCCTAACTTGCCGAGCAGAGCCCTGCACACAGGCACACTGCAGCTGCATTAAGACTCAGCATAATTCAACCCAAAGCATAAAACTAGTTTTTAAAACCTCTACCAAGGTGTCATCTCTCCCAAAACTGAACTGCAAATGTCTTTGAAGCAAGTTTCAACAGCAGCTCGACACCTCGAGCGTGCCAATGCTTTGTGACAGTTTAGGGAAGGCTGAGGCTGATATTTGATTATTAGTGACGGCAAAAAAATGTAAATAATGCACTGTTGAACTTATCTGCATGGCAGAACAGGTAAGAAACGAGTCTTAATTCTACTTACAGTAAGTCCATCTGATTGGTGACTAAGGCTTCAGGACTTCTGCTTCTCTTTATGTCGCATCCATTCTTACCCAGCTCTTCACAGCAGTCAGGGAGTGCAGCTCTGCCCAGACTTAGAGGACAATTAAAAAGCTGGAGGAGGATATTTTCGTTCCTCGTTCTCTGAAAAGGAGAGCTAAAAAAGGATTAGGAGGTTTGGTCATAGCAGACAGAAGTGGTGATTCTGAAGTAAGTCAACAGGTACTATGATTAAAAAAAAAAGCCCCAAATATTTTTTACATTACTATTTGAAAGGCTTTGCAAATTGGCAAGTAAGTGTGTTCCTCACTCTTTTTTGGGGAGCTTTTAGGATTGGTTTGTGGTTTGTTTTTTTTTTAAAGAACTGAGAGGAAAAATATCTCTGTTGCTTAACTATTTTTCAACCATCACTCCCAACTTAGTACTTGTTAGTATATTTCCCATCCAGATTCTGATTAATAACAGCTATCACATCACAAAATACAGGAAAGTCATAGGTACATACAGCTTTCCATGATATTCCATATACACATTTGCCAGTTTTTTAAAACTAGATGAAAATAAACCCGTTAGTTCGCAAATGTTTAAGGCAAAAAATCAATGTACAGCATCCAATAATGATATAATCTAGTTTTGTTAAGCACACATCACTCCTACAACTTCAAAATCATTTACAAATACATCAAGGGAACTGCAGCAACTTGTCAGATAAGGCAGGTGGGTCATGGAGGAACAAACTGACCTGTCAAACACTCCCCATCCCAACAACTACAGAGCTAGAAGAGACTAGTCTGTCTTATCTCAGTCCAATACTTTGGCCTTTAACTCACCTCACACATCAGATAAATTTAACTAGACCCCATGTAAAAGCATCATAAACCCACTCTGATGCAGAAGAGTTTAGTGGGAATGCACAACTATCCACTGCCAGTCATTCTTCCTGATGACTGCTGAGCTGTAACAGGACTTTCCTGGGTACATCTGAAGAAACAAACTTCAAGAGATGCCAGGCAAGGAAACAGGGATGGAGTTCCCCCACAAAAGAGGCTTCAAGGTGTAAGGGACAGGGCCCAGGGTGCCAAAAGACTGCAGGGGGGCTTGCTAACACCTTCTAGCTTTGGTAAAAATAAACCCAAATAATGAAGGGGACCTCTCAGTCATATGCTGTCGAGTCCTTGAATTTCAAAAACTTCAGTTTACTCCAGTATGGGTGGAGCAGAACCAGCACTTGGACCTCCAGTAACACAGAATGTCCAGAACTGAGTGTGTTTTTCTTTGGTAACTCTGAAAGTACAGAAATAAAGCTACTGTTTCTAATGACAGGAGATAAGGAGAGTGAAAAGCCATCACTGACACAGTATCCTGATGAATACAGGAAAATGTACTGCCTCACAGCTGGCAGCTACTGCTTGAAGTATCTGAGCTTCTTCTCACATATGCCTTAGGAGTATTAATATCAACGTGATTCCATGGGTCATTAAGATTAAAAAAACACATCATTATTTCCAGTAAAAGTTGTCAAAATGAAAAAAAAAAAATTAACAAAACGGCAATGCAAAATTTTAAAATATTAGATTAATTCAAAACAAATTCAACCCAACAGGTTTTGGTTTTGTTTTAGTTTTTCAATGGATTTCTGCAGATCAGATCTTTAGGTAAAAGCTGCAGTAGAGTTGTACTTCATTTGATAACATACTGCATTTGATAACATACTACTTAATCTAATACAGACTTTCTAGACAATTAGTCCTCCAAAGGGTTTTCCTCCTCCCTACCCCAGTGACAGCCACTCTGTCCCCCGGATGGGAAAAGCACTGAGCACAGAGTTGTGCTGCTCAGCTCTAAGGGGTCACCACCACATCCTCCTGAGCCCCTCACCTGGTGACTTTTGGGCAAAGGAAAGGCTCCACTTTTGCCACCATCATGTCATGGCTCCTTCATCCAGCCTGTGTCCTTCACTAGCCAGGAGCCAGCATCCCAAAGAGACAATAGAAAGAACGAAAGGCAGTGAAACCCTAAAGGTTTAACCACAGTTTTGTTAATCAAACCTGACCTGCTGGCTTCTCCATGCAAGAAATAATAAGGTACTTCCTTAGTGCAAACCATGTCATGGCTGTTAATTGCTTCCCACAAGCTTCTATGTGGAGATCACCATAGGCTGTTTCCAAGCCTAAGTCAGTAGGATGGAATAAGTACCTCCAGATATCCTAATTCAACACTGTGAATTCAACTTGGCCAAAGAAGCCAGAGTTACGTTGGCAACAGTTTACTTCCTGCATTTACATAATGCTTCAATACATATTTTGTGCTATTTCCTGAGACAGAAACAACGTTAGTTGTTTGCTAAGCTCTATGATAGTTGTCAACAGTTGAAAAAAAAACAACCAAGAACAAAGAAAACCAAACCAGTTCTCCATAGGTGGACCTACGTAAAAGCAGCCACATGCAAACAAGAAAGATGGGAGAGAACAGAACAGTCAAAAGCCAAATGAATGAAGTCAAGCCCATCTTCTAAAAGGAGGAATCATAAAAGCATCCAAACACTCTACATGAACCTGAAACAGTGTGTCACATCCAAAAAATTGCCACTATCCAGATGAACAAACTGGCAAAAGTCATTAAGATAGCAAAGGAGTAATCTCAGTGCAAAGCTCAACCCTAAAAAAGGGCAAGCCGACAAATTATGGTGTTGATGATGCTGGAAAGGAAATATGCTTCCTTTGTTTTTTTTTATTCCCAACCATTTTATGATCACTGAGAAGTTTCAGTAGCATAACCACAAACACAATATAACCATGATACGACAGTGGGGAGGAAATATTAGAGGGGCAATAAAAAAAAAATAAAGAGGGAAAACCAGGAAGGAGGTGATTCCAGATTGATTTTCATTATCTTTTCAGAGAGCAATTTCACAGAACAGGATAATTCTTGCCTTTGCTACCAGGACAAGAGGAAAGAAACACGGTCGAGATTTCTATTGAATAATCAGTACTAAAAGTCATCACGACTTGCAAATGAAGTATAGAAAGGTTAAAATAAATCCAGCTATAAATTAAAAAGGAGAGGAACTAAGTAAGATTTTCACCTCATTTCATTAATAAGATTTCCTTGACACTTCAGGAAGTAGCACTAAATATTCTTATTGTGATGATTAAAAAAAAGTGATCATAATTTACTCCACAGAGTAAAATTTATCCCCTGGAAGGGGTCAAAGACAAATTGACTGAATGTCTCAAAGTCATCAAAATCAGGTTCTTCCCAATGTCCTGGCCCTTCAGGAACCTTCTCCATAGAGGTGATCTCTACTCAGCGTGCCTGTGGGGTAACATCACACATCTTCCTGAGAACTACAGGAGACTATGTAAATATTTACATGAAAGGTTGCCACAAACAAAATCTCAGCATTCTCACAGTTCCTAAGAAATAGGTTTGAAGCTATTCTAGATTAGCCCCCAAAATATCATTATACTGTAGAGTGTACTTATCAACAGGAGTCAAAAAACAGTGCCTCTTGATAAGCACTATCAGCAGCAGCTCAGTGAAGCCCACAACAGTATTCCCGAGGCCAGGAAACCAGGATTAATTCTACTTCCACATGGACAAAAGAAGGCATTAAAAATCTCTGAGTGTAGCAGTCTCTTTAAGCAGTTATAGGCTGCCATATTTGTGCTACAAGTAATCATCTATTTGTCTTCTCTGAAAACAGATACTGCCATGAACCTCAGCCTACCACAAGTACATCACATTAGGAACACTGGGGTGGGGAAGGAGGCTGAAATGCTGTTGCCTGGCTGAGTGGATGATGAGTGCCAGAAGACCCTACAAAAACAACCATTTCTGAAACAGAAAGGACCAAGAGCCCAAAAGAACCAGCCGTCCTGCCACGGTAGGAGATGGACCTATTGGTCAGGCAACAACTGCAAACCACAGCACCCACCACCAGACCACAGGAGGAGCTGGAGAATGCACCAACAGCCAGCCTGGCATTTGGATTCTTACTTCCCCTACACTGCATCCCCAGTTCTGCCTCTGCCCTTCTTCCATGGCAGAAGCAAATAATTTTCTGGCAGAAGCATATTTGCTTGTTATCTTCATATTTGATTATTATCTTCTGGCAGTAAAATTCAAGTGTCTGTCTATGTTACTGAAAGTTGCTGGCAAGGAAATGAACCTCTCAAGAATACCTGTTTACCATATTGGAGTTGCAAATGTATATTGTATGAATATGATAGCACTAGTTACCCACTCTGCAGAAAAAAAGCCCCCAGCAATGTTCACAAATTAGACTTATTTAGGCATCTGGTCCAGGTCAGCTATTTTCAATCTGTGAACTACAAATCCTGAGAAGCTGCAAACCATTTCTAATGGGTCTATGGCAGAGAAGAATGAAAAGCAAATCTGCTGGCAGGAGGTTTAAATTCACTCCATGGGGAGGCTCATGTTGCCAGAAACAGGTTTCGGGATCCAGGCATCCAAGATGTGGGGGAAGTACTGCTGCAGTAGTATAGACACTGCTGAGCTACCATCATGGCACTGGAAATACTCATGTGGACCAACCCTGCACTGATACAGGAGGAAAAGGCTGTATCTTCAGGACTGACAACTCCAAGAGAAATATTTTGACCAGCACCCTGGAATCAGGAAAGGGTTCTTCACCCAGAGGGTGGTCGGGCACTGGAACAGGCCCCCCAGGGCAGTGGTCACAGCACCAAGCCTGTCTGAGTTCAAGAAGTGTTTGGACAACACTCTCAGGCACATGGTGTGAGTTGGGGATGGTCCTGTGCAGGGCCAGGAGTTGGACTTGATGATCCTGATGGGTCCCATCCAACTCAGCAGATTCTACAATTCTATGAATAATGTGTCACTTTGCTTTTCCATCAACATCCAGGAACATAGTTTCAACTTATTTCCATTTTCAGGCTAGGCTGCCATGATGGATTTGCTCTAGGTTGACTGGGACTATGAACCAGTATAATTTTTAACACTTTAAGAATGAAAGGAAAAAGGAAAAAAGACATGTTAAGTCCTACTTTGGCATCAAATTTTATCTTAGTCTTTTGGCTTTACATTTATGTTGATCCTTGTAGGTAACACTCACAACTGCAATCACTTCCCAGTTCATTAATTTGTGCCACACACAATGTCCATCTCTTTCCCACACCTAACACTATAAAAATCCAAAATACTGTGAAAATCTTTCCCCACCTAATACTGGAAATCATCCAAGCTGTTTCCCTTGGCTCTTTCTAAAGCACTAAAGGCATTAGTGTCACTTTACTCAGGGCAAACAAGGATACTTAGGACAAAGGCTCGACGTGAGAACTGGCCCTTTAAATTCACTGACACCCACCCAACCCACCCAGGGACTTGAGGTTGAAATTCGAGGGCCAAGTAAACTCGGAACATAAAGACACCTGAGAGGAGGTGTGGAGTGGGGGTTGATTTCAGCTTGCAAAGATTTGGCCCAGAAGTTTCGGTGATAGGACTCCTGAAAAAAGTCACTCTTCCAAAATCTAAAGCACTTAAAGGGATTAGTGTAATTTAGGGCAAACAGGGAAACTTAGGACAAAGGCTCAACGAGAGAATGATCTTCCAAAATCACTTGATGAATTATGACAACTTTAACTAGAAATTAGAGTTTTTTGGGGAAAAAAATGAACCAGTGGTGGCATTAATACAAGCTGAAGAGGCCCCAGAACTAAGCGTTGTTCTGGTTTACTCTCCCTGCGAGCAGCTGCTCGCTCGGTGACCTTGAGAAAGTTGCCTCATCTCCTGCCCTTCATCACCACGGCAAGACATGGACAAGCTCCACTTGGAAAGGTGCGCGGAGCTCTCCGCACCTTCCCCCCCCCGTCCCTGCTCGGTATCCTCTGAACTCACATCGCCCACCCACCTTCTCTGGGCGAGTTCAGCTCCCGGCTCCCCTTACAAACCCGGCTTCCCACAGGGAAGCGCAACTTTATCGCGCTGCATCTCCCAGTGGAGAGAGCGTCTACGGAGAGGGGGAGGCAGGGGGAAGCGGGGGGAAACACCGTTTAGAGGGGCGAACTACGTCCCCGCTCGCTTTTTTGTCACCCGGCGCCTCCCACCCCCACGGGACGGGGCTTTCCGCCGCCGGGGTCCCTCCGCATCCCCGCAAAGCCGAAACGCCTTCATTAAAAGCCAAAAGAACAGCAGGCGCCACTCGGAGCGGTCGGGATGGCGATTCCTCCCCCCTTTCCCTTCCCTCGGGAGCCGCCCGGGGTGGCTCCGCTCGGCTCTCGGGAACGAGCCCCGTGCGAGGCGAAGGGGCCGCGCTTACCTGGGGCTGCTCCCGGCGGAGCTGGACGGGACGGGCTGGAACACGGGAGGACGGAGCCGGGAGCAGCCGCTGCGGCCGGGGAGGAGTCAGGGAGCGGGGAAGGGGCAGGGGCAGGTGCCGGCAGGTGGATGCGCCGCCCGGCCCCTTCCTCCCGCGGCGGGCGGGGAGGAGGCGCTGCCCGCTGCCCTTCGCCCGCCTCCATCACCCCGGGACCCCGCGGGGGGCGCAGCCCAACCACCTCTTCCCGGCCTCCGACCCCTGGGGCTCCCCTTTTCCTCCTCCTCCCACGGTGGAAAACAAACAAGCCGGATGGAAGCCAAGGGACACCTCGAGGAGGAGGAGGAGGAGGAGGAGGAGGCGGTGGCGGTGCCCCCTCCCCTGTGAGACCCCGATGCTCTCTCGGGTTTGGTTTTTGGCGCTCCAGCCCAAGGGATCCGCGGGTTCGTTTGGGGGCTTTTTTGGAGCTCGCCCATCGGTGCCTGCTGGGCTCCGTTTCAGTTAAATCACAACTCTTCCCTAAACAGGGCAAGTCAGCGCCTGATAAAGATTGCTCGTAAAATACCGGCCCTGGGAAATGACTTCTGTTTTCTTCGGCTTTTTTAGGGCCATTTAATAACGGGGCACTCCGGAAAATTACCGTGGTCTCTCAATGGTCGCGTTACTTACAACGCTATGGTGACTCGTGGTAACTCCTGTGGAGCAGAACTGCTCCTGAGCAGTGACAGGACTCGAGAAAACCGCACGAAGCTGAGTCAGGGCAGGTTTACGTTGGAGATCAGGAAAAAGTTCTTCCCCCAGAAGGTGGCTGGGCGCTGAACAGGCTCCCCAGGGCAGTGGTCACAGCACCAAGGCTGACGGAGTTCCAAGAAGTGCTTGGACAATACTCTCAGGCACGTGGGGGGATTGTTGGGGTGTCCTGTGCGGGTCTAAGAGTTGGACTCGATGATCCTGATGTGTCCATTCCAATTCAGCGTATTCTATGATTCTATGATACAGTGAGTGAAGGTTTTTTCTCTGCTGCAGCTGAGCTCCACAGAAAAAAAAAAAAATAAAAAAAATTACTTATATCCCAAAACTTCAGAGTAATACTGGAAAAGTAAGTCAGCAAAAGAAATTCCACTCAGTGTTAAAAACAGCTCCAAATTAGCTTCAGTATTGCTGAATGCTGTGCTTAACATCTCTGTATGGAGACGAGATAAGGCAAAGTACCCAAGTTTGGCATGATAAGTGTCTGGAGTTTGTGTATATTTTCAAATGCATATCAAGGAATTACATCAAGTGCACCAAGAGGGTCATACCATCAGTATTTTTCCATCTCTATGTGTTTAGTCAAAGAGAACGAATGATCTTCAGGACCTTTAGTACTAAAACATAAGGAGTATTGGTTTTAAACTTTAGCTTAGGCTTTCCAGCTGTACCATTTGTAGGGCTATTTCAGTTCATGTGCTCCCAGAATGAATCAGTGAGATCTGGTAATTTTTGCAGTTTGGATTCAGTTGCAGGAATTGGACCTCAAATTTCATTTGAAGTGTAAAACGTAAAATCGTCCCAAGTCACAACCAAAATGCAATGTCACCTTCTGTAGGTCTCTGATGTGCCCACCTGTGTGGCTTGTCCTTGTTTTTAATCTGCAGTAACTGTCAGTGGCCTTCAGAGCTTAGAGGTACTTTGGGTTTGAAGCAGGGTACCTGGTCATAAGGTTTCCCTGTTAAGTTTCCTTACCAAGAGGAGGGAAATGGTCCTGCAAATTGTCACTTGACATCATACCAACAAGAAGAAACCCCTCAGGATCTTTTCTGTTCTACAGGAGAACCCGAACATTTTTTTTCTTTTGAAATTCACGTATTTTTTCCTCTGAAAGTCATGTGGAGTTTATATACTCCTGAACTGATGGTGTCTAGTGCCTCTCTCAAGACAAAGCTCAGTTATTAGTTATTAGGATGTCTAACAATATATATTTCAAAAAGGTATTTCTTTTGAGTTTAGAGTATTTTGGATCTCTCTTTGGATTTGTCCAGATCTCTTGCACAATGGCTACAGATAAAGGGAGATATGAAAAATATGTGCTGGTTCCTGTTGCCTGTATGCAGCCACTTCTAAGGTACTACATCAATTCAGGTATTGGGAACGAAATTAGGCAGAAGGACACAAATATTCAGTGCCAGGGAAGCTTTAAACCCTTTAGGAGGACCCGCGTTGCTTTATGCGCTGATAAACAACACCAGCCCTGCCATGGGGGAGATTCAGCTCAGCTCGGTTAAAATGAATGGCGCTCTGCTAAGTTACAGACTTGAAGATCTGGGCAAAAGCCAGCAGGTCGCTGATTACCCCTGTTAACACCTTTTCTTCTCAGAGAGGGCTGAGCCGGTCAGTGAACGGTGCATTCCCACCCTCTTTCCCCCGGTTATTCCCTCCCTTCGTGGCTGGTATGGGGCTCACTAAAGGCTTGGCCTTTCTGATCTCTAACGTAGTAAAAGCTTTTTTTTTTTTTTTTTTCTTTTTAAACCTGGGTTAATATTCCCCAAGGTTAACTCGGCTTGCTAACAAAGGTCAGAGGAGCGGGAGAGCTGGAGCAGCGGCAGCAGAGGTGGGGAGGGGGACATTGCCTCCTCTTGGCAGCAGAAGCTGTCAGGTCTGTTCAGCTTGTCCTCTCTGCTCGAGGACTGAGCTCCGGGCCCTGTTATCTTATCCAGAATAGTTCCGTGGGCTATTATCCGTGCGTGTTACCGTGTTTTAATCATGCAAAGGTGGCTTTTGCAGAGCAGGATGCTGAGTGTTCATTTTATTAATGGATTATAAGCAATTTCTGAAGGAGAGATCAGGGCAGGGTTTGGTTTCTCGGAGTGGCTGCGTGCTTTGGGAGGGGCAGGCAGCTGCCTGCTGGAGAGGGATGTCCTCCTGCTGCGTAGCCCAGAGTTCACTGCCCAGAACTGAGGGTGTTGGAGAGCTTCAACATGACCCAGCCTAACATTGTTCATCTCAGAACTTACTCCAAACACCTCAACCTCACTTAAATATTGATAGTTAAATGTTTGGCAAACTCCTTCCTTCTCCTTATTTATGCAGGAGAACATGTTTGGAACTTTTGTTGTTTTTTCTTTACAGGCATGCAGGCTAGCCTTCCTGTAAACTGGGGCTAAGCTTCTGAATAAATAAACTGATGAACACACTGATCTTTTTTAAGTGCCTGGTATCACCTACTATTGTACACCCTGCCTTGTGATACCTCTGGCTTCCTATGACACCTCCCTTACCCTGTTCTATAAGGTAGCTCTGCCCACCCATTTATAGTATCACAGAATATGCTGAGCTGGAAGGGACCCACAAGGATCATCAAATCCAACTGCTGGCCCTGCACAGGACACCTCAACAATCCCACTTCATGCCTGAGAGCGTTGTCCAAACACTTCTTGTGCTCTGTCAGCCTCGGTGCTGTGACCACTGCCCTGGGGAGCCTGTTCAGTGCCCAGTCAACCTCTGGGTGAAGAACCTTTTCCTGAGATCCAACCCAAACCTGCCCTGACTCAGCTCCAGTCCTTTCCTTGAGTCCTGTCACTGGTCACCAGTGAAGAGATTGGTACCTGCCCCTCTGCTTCCCCTGGTGAGGATGCTGAAGACTGAAATGAGTTATCATAACTCCCTTGGTTTCTGCAGGCACTTTGTCACCACGGGTTCATTTCCTACTCAGTTGGTGCCCAATGTGCCATGTGCTCCACTGTACTTCTGATTTTTGCCTGGGTTTCATGTGTCTAATAAAAACCCAAGGGCAGTGGGAGATAAGGCCTCCCTAGGGCCAAACACCAGAGTACTTAATCAAAGCACATCAGGGTAGTTTGCCCTCGACACTTCGAGATTACAGCACAAGACTTCTCTTTACCATTCCAAAAGAGCTACAATTAGAGCTATCTCCAGCCAAATTCGGTGCTAAATCCCACAACTGGGAAACAAACCCACCAATATTCAATTAGTTGCGTCCTCTATAGGTTTTTTTCTTCCCTCAGTAGCACGAAAGAGATCTCTGTGGGTTGACTCTTTATGACAGACACTACAGTTGTGCACTCATCCATAAAACTACATCAAACCTGGGAACATAATTAGTCATTTAATAACTAAGCTTAAACTCAATGTATGTTGACTTTGGAAGTACGTTTGCATCTGGCTGTTATTACCATGAATACACACACATAAATTTACCTGCTGCAGCTATATTTGAAAATCAAGGTAAACGGGCAGACATCTTCAAACACAGTCTTTTTTTTTTTTAGTTCTAACTGTTGAATGAAGCAGAAGGTAGTCCTTTGTTAGGGTATTAACTAAATATGGTGAAAAAACACGACTTCTTAAACCAATTACCCTGTTATCTGGGAACTAGGAGAGGGTCTCTTGTGCCTGTAGATTAGAAAGGTGTGTCCTTGTGAACATTCTCACTTCTTTCCCACCCTTTCGGAAACTATTTTAGGAGTTTTAAACCCCACGCAGATGGAAACCCAGAAAGTTGCCCAAATCTTTTTGTTTTTCTCAATTTATAATTTTTTTTTTCTTTTTTTTCTCCCAGTTTAGCTTTCTGGTATAGACACAAAAGTCTCAGAGTCATGAGATTCTTTGCTGTCTCCCCGAGGGAAGAAACTTTCAGAAATAATAAGTTACCCTCAGTTTCATTTAGGTGCATGTTGTTTCAACGGGTTTCTTCTCTGTTATTCTATAACAAGAGAGAATAAAAATTCAAATACTGCTCTTTGCTGGATTTTTCTGGGTGTATTGTAAATACAGCTGCATTTTCCTACATCAGAACACAATTTGACCTGCTACCCACAATAAAATAATCCTCCTCTTGTGGCACAGAAACTGAATGACAACTTTCATTTATTGTACTTTTTTTTTCCTGATACTTGGGACTTTTTTTTTTCACTGATCTGGTAGTTTAGCTTTGTCTTGCACTTGTAACACAAAGCAACCATAAATTCAAACTACTCAGCCAATTAAGCCAGGTTTATAGTTACTCCTGTGCCAGTAATCAGGTCTGAAGCAACTACAATGCATCAGTGAATTTGAGTTTCGATGCAGAATGATCTCACTGTTCTCATAAAACAAATTACAGAAATACATTTT